GAGAGAGAGAGAGAGATTGTGGAACGGCATTGACAAGTACTACTAAATTCACAATAGCTTTTAATGTAGTGTAGACAAAGATAATGGCGGCATGTTATAATATATTAACTCACTTTAGTACTTATTACATGGCATTCCATGCACAAAATAAAGCAAATAGATCTCTCTCTCTCTCTCTCTCTCTCTCTCTCTCTCTCTCTCTCTCTCTCTCTCTCTCTCTCTCTCTCTCTCTAGGATATCTTAGGGAAGGAGGGACGCAGGAAGAGCGTGTTTCTTTAGGGGAGGAAAGGTTAGGGTGTTGTTTTATAGGAGTTAAGATGGAACAATTCAAGTTCTTCCGCAAGCGTATGACTGATGGTGTTCCAACACACGTCTACCACAACTCATCAAATGGTTTTACATTGACAAGGTACAACAAAGTGTTACAAAAAGCAAGGATAGCTAGAAGAATATCAGTTATGACTTGGAAATTATACAAAAACACGAATCTTAAAGGATCACTACAGTACAGGACACACCAGAGGAGCATTTTTTTTTTTACCCTTCCGCTATTCAAGCTAATATTAAATTATTCCCGGACGGCGCAACAGTCTTTTTTTTGTGCATATATTTAATTACCAATAATTCTCCATCATATATCCATAATTCATGTTCTTTACAATGTATTATTCTTTAAGTCTGTCTTCTTCACCTTTATTCTATTACTTACTTCTACACAACACCTGCTGTGTCTCTCTTCTTAATCTGATCAATAAAATACCAACTGACTCATTGAATCAACATAATTATTCATTAACCTCATTTAAATATATAAAAAGGTGTCATCAATAAAAACAATCATCGAGGGTGAAGAAATTTATACATTTTACTAGATTCAATTTTCTCTTTGTCTTCAACTTATTTTTATTATGTTTTACTACTTCGCTAAATAACTCACGCCAGCTGTGTTATTGGTTTATCTACTTAGGCGAAACTGTAAACATCCACTTGCCCTTGTACCAATATCATGACGTTATTCAGGTGCTGGGTTCACAGGTCATTCATTAATTAGGATCAGTGAACTGCCAATCCAAACTAGAATGACCATCTCTCCACCGTACCCATAAATAGTGACCCATTGACAGGTAATCAATTAACAAGACACTGTCAGGTACTATTATAATGCCACTCCCGACCTGTGGGTAACGTATCAATGATATTTATCGGGTCTTTTATTAACAAGGTACTGTCAAGTGTTATGAAACCGTCCACCTGACCTATGGTAGTACTAATATAAGGATTCATGTACTATTAGATATCATGAAAGTAGGCTTCCCTCCTAACCTACGGGTGTTAAAGACCCTGTCTGAACCAGATCATAAATCAACGAGGCACTACAAGATACTCCCTGGTACCCCTCCCCCCTGACCAGTCTTTGTTGCAGGTGTTGGGAACTCAGGTACCAGCCAAGTGACCTTGAGTGTGGACCTAGGACTTTGCGTCTGCTCATCCTCTCTCTCTCTCTCTCTTTCTATGGCTTTCGGTTTTTATTTTACTCTATTCGCTTTGGTTCGCTGAATTGTTGTTCTCCAGAACTGTCACATCTTGTGATCCAGCTGGAACCAGTTACTATGATCTTCCACGGCTACAACATTCAACTAAACTAAGTGTCATGAGACTAATCGGTCATTCTATGAAGATCGGGGTCAGTGCTATTCTTAGAATGCATATTACCAGATAAAAATTATGAGAAACATTCCATAATAAACGGCTCTACCAAATAAGTACAGTTCTCTCTTCCTTATTTCCCTCATCCTGTCATTTAACAGAAACAAAAACAGAAGGAGTGGGAGGAGTCGTTTGAAGCAATGATTTCATTTTCTTCTATGAGTCTCTCCTCATTATTCAAGAAGCTGCTGTGTTTTGACAGTTACACATCTGAATAATTTATATACAAGATTATCCTAACCTATATATTACTAGCCAAATTTCATCACATTTTGTGTTTGGTTATTTTATTTTGATACAGATTTACTAACAATCTATCATTTATAAATTACTCACGCACTCAGAAGTGGCAGCAGGTTCCTAAGGATTAGTAAAATTCTTTGTTTTATATTGCATAAAATAAAATGTTGTACAAGATTGAATTTTCCTTGTTAAATATATGATACTACTCTGATTGCAACCTTTCAAAACGTCGGTATGATGCTTCTAAAATCAAACCTACTAATTTAACGATTATCATAGAGAGCATACCTAGTTCCATCTTTGTGCTGTACAGTAATAACTTAGTACACGAGCCAATAAAATGCTCGTTTTATCTCTAGTTTGAGAAGTAGATGCAAGATGCGAACTTTTCAGAACCTATAACCAAGAAATATTAAAGTGATACGAAAGAAAGGAAACACAGCTGGAGATTTTTAGGAAGGGCAAGTTAAACTTTCTAAATGTGTGACTGAGATTGAAAGTTGAGTGATGTGAGAGAGAAACTGTGAATGTAGGTGTTGGGTGAGAGGCATACAGCATGGTACAGTAGATAGTGGTTAGGTGCAGTCTTTTGGTGTGGAATATTGAACAGAGAGAGAGAGAGAGAGAGAGAGAGAGAGAGAGAGAGAGAGGGAGAGGGAGAGGGAGAGAGAGAGAGAGAGAGAGAGAGAGAGAGAGAGAGAGAGAGAGAGAGATTACAAAATGTGTCCTTCATCCCAATAACCGAAGTCTATCTGTTACTGTACCGTAATATACAAGGGCTCGAGGCTGGGGTGTGTACAGTTTACCTGATAAACCGACACACACGACACTCAGGTGGTGCGACAAGGTCACCTGCCACACCCAACGCTGCATGTTTGTCCTCCAAGCACCTGGACCACACTATAAACCTGAAGACTTATTACCATGCCAAATTCAACTAGATTTTGTCTATATTTATAAATCTTATGTCAGCCGTTATGATGTATATCCATGTCACCACTGTCAACACACACTCGTAAAATACTTTCCTTCTCAGGAAATGGTAATGTCGCTGTCAACTGTATATTATTCATGAAGGTATATTAGCCTTATTTCTATAGCTCTCTCGATTTTGTTCCACGTTTTGTCATAGTGTGGTTTCACTTGCCAGGTTTAATGCATGAGTCCCTTTGGTTTATGTTGGTGACATCTACAATGTGAAACTGTGACACTGTTCAACATTAAAACTGACAAACTTCCTCGAGATAGGCATCCTCTTACTTTCGTTATTACTTGTTTTTATTTTTAATAGTAATTCTACCAAATTTCATTTAACTTTATGATTTCATGAGTACTTTAGAAACATTATATAAATCTTATATTTTTGCCACTATCAAATTTCAACTTTTCTACTACCATTATGGAGCTTGACTGCGAAACTACTATTCTTGTTTGTATCTGCAAATGTCAACACAATTTCTGAAGATTGCCTTTTTCTTAAATCGTGGATAACATCTACTATATTTAGTGAAACAAAACACATTTTCATAATGAGTAAACAATATATACGACCGTAAGATCTCGATGGGATATTCCATGTATATTTTAATCCAACGTATAACACAAATATTAAAATTTGTGTAACACTGACATTCAAAATCTGAAAAGATCATAAAGTTTAGCTTTCGCAGGAATGTGTGATTTGAATATTTTATGTTAACCATGAGTTGATTTATTAGTAGTTACTACCTAAATTACTTTGTTCAATGATTTGGTGTAATAATTTTCAGTGTTGATGGGCCCATGCCGATTGTCTTCCGCACAACGTTGCCCAGTATTATCCTATAGGGTTATGATTATTACAACCTGTATAACTGAGTTCACTCATTTACCTAACAGTGCTTACAGTCATACAGATTCTTGTGTTAACCTCCAAGTGAATTACGTGGACCCGTACCACCAATATAACCCTGTGATCAGATGATAGTCTGAATATTATTTCCAGCACCTGCAAGTTGGGATATACTACCGTCATATGACTAGTACACTGTTACCAAAAAGGCTAAGTTTAACACCATCCACTAAATTATATTCACGACCTTAAGAGCACACAGGCAATCCTCATTTACCACATGAACATGACTGTACTCCCTCACATAATGGGCTCAGAGCCACAACCTGCAGCCTAACACCACTGTAATTTTTCTTTGCTGACCAATGAATAAACAAATCCAACAAGTTGTGTTAGTTGTTGGCCCATCACCCCACGTCTTGACCAGGTATTGAACGGGGATGGTCACAAGCATAATTCTTCAGCGCTTGAGGAACTGGAAAGTTGTGGGAACTGTTGGGTTTACAGAGCGCATCACCTCCAGACGGGAGCGACTTGTGACGGACACAGCCACAAACGTGCTGCCAGGTAGGTGCCGAAGCCTGAGTGTTGGGTGGATCTCTGCCTGAGCCGTCCTGCCTGAGGAACTGGGAGGAGGCGTCAGATACAGTCACTAGGTAGAATGGCCTTGGGTTTCTCACTCACGAAGCCCCGTTAATAATCCCGGCTTAAAGCCTGATACTTCATTAATCGATGCATTTTTCACTGATTCCTTATCGATAACAGTGATCTTATTTCATCGATGTATTATCTATTGAGCTGTGAATGATACCACGCTGGGCTATAAGATCACAATAAACAGAAGAAGTTGGTGAACAAAGAGGCAAGTAACAGTCAAGCACCAAGATGAGCAAGCAAGTACAAGCAAAAAGTTGAAGATTCGTATGTAGATCATCCCACCAGAGGCCTTGGGAACACGTGACCACCTCACTGGAGCAGTATATATAGGCCAGTGCTCACCAAGATATGCGACAGCCATCCGGCCTCCAGAAGCATCTAGAGCAATTTTCTCACCATCTCACTAAGTCAACATGAAGCTTTTGGTAAGCGGCCACCTACTGTTTTCTTTCTGTTCCTAATATTTGGTGGCAAGAGATCAGTTTATACAATATAAATATGTTTATAGGAACTTTTACATGGGCAAATATTTAGACTTAGTGACTATACAATTTACCTACAGGTTACCTGTCTCCTCGCCATCGTGGTCACCTCTCGTGCCTACGTCCTTATTGGACCTTCAGGTGCCGTCTCCGCCACAGGACATAACCGCCAGTTCTCTGCTGATGAAGCTGCCCAAAAGGCCGGTACCCAGAGGGAGTCCGTAACTCAGTATGCCGCCGGACCACATGATGTGGTCGGAGCTTCAGGTATCGTCAGACCTACCGGAGTGAACGTTCAGTTCACCCGGGAAGAAGCCGAGAACCAGTACAATGTTTTGGTGGGTCCCTCCGGGATCGTCACCAGAGATGGCCAAAACATCCAGTTCACTGCCGAACAGGTTGGCCGCCAGAAGCGTGACCTAGTGGGACCCTCTGGTATCGTCAGAACAGATGGCAGAAATGTCCAGTTCACCCAGGAAGAAGCCGATAACTATTTCAATGTTGTGAAGGGACCCTCCGGTATCGTCCGAAAAGATGGCAACAACATTCAGTTCACCGCTGAACAGGCTGCCCGCCAGAAGCGTGCCCTATTTGGTCCCTCTGGCGCTATCTTGGATGATGGCACTCAAGTCCAGTTCAGCAAGGCAGGTGTCACAGTCCTACTGGAGGGACCCTCTGGCTACGTCTTCAGTGACGGCACCCTCGTCCAGAAGAAGAGCTAGGAGGCAAGACTCAGAATACCTGACCCAAAACTCTGTCTACGACTCTTCTCTGTATTGGTTGTACTATAAACAGACACTTACAAAATAAAGAATATGCAAATGCAATGAACAACTATCAGATTTACTTCTCCTTGCTTTCATCAAATGTTAGTGTTGAGAATATCATCCTGACTCAGTGGGTTAATTTCTTGAGAAATTAAATTATCAGTTTACTATTGCAAAATCATACAGACTTTTCATAAATTATACAAGTTATGGGACAAAGAAAAATAATAACACAAAATACAATGAATAACTTCTGGATGACTTCAGAATTAAACCTCTTGTAAAAATCTGTCTCTGAGGAGATATAACAAACTGGGAATTGAAACTTGTGATTTTTACTCGTAGTTGTAAGTCATCAAAATATTTTCCTATACTATATATTGACCGTATAAACATGGTATTGGAGAAGGCATCTCAATATCTGCTGGTGTCGACGGGATGTTCCCGTTAAACTGTCACTCAAGACGTTTGCCAGTTTGTAGAATCAGGTCAGGCGGTCATTGGTGTAGATTGTCTATCATAAATTAAACTAAACGTAAATGAGGGGAAAGAATGGACCTGTGATGAAGTTAGCATTGATCTAACCAGACGTAGTGAAGCATTATATATATATATATGCAAGTAAATCACTGTAGGTACGCGTGATCTAGGTATATGCTGATAACCACATATAACCACATGGTTATCAGCATATATATATATATATATATATATATATATATATAATCAACGACCTCACCAGCCAGGAATCGAACCCTCGACCTACTGGGTGGGACTAGGGAACGCTTACCGACCAACCCACAAGGACACTAAAAGCAGTCGTAGACTCTGTTATATTTCACACAAAGCCTGTTCAACGAGCTTATGTTAAACAGGCTTTGTGTGAAATATAACAGTCTAGGACTGCTTTTAGTATCCTGGTGGTCCAGAGGTAGCGTTCCTCGGTCACAGTCATGGGCTCGTGGGCCGTGGGTTCGAATCCTGGCGGGTTGAGGTGTTGATTGTGTGTGTGTGTGTATATATATATATATATATATATATATATATATATATATATATATATATATATATATATATATATATATATATATATATATATATATATATATATATATATATATATATATGCTGATAACCACAAGGAAAGAAAAAAACACGAAGTTCCCAAGCGCTTTCGTGTAATTCACATCTTCAGGGGTGAGTACAGACTAAAGAGGAGTACAAAACAAGGTGTATATATACAAAGGAGAGAGAGACAGGTCCACAATGGTCAGGTATTAGGCAAATGACCTACTAATCTTTGGGGTATACATACTAAGTTGGTGGTCAGGCCAGATGGTCAGTCACCCGGCCTTCTCACCTGATCACAAATCTTCTTAATTACAAAATTGTCCAGCTTGTACAGATGCCGTTACCCAAATTCATGTTGAATGCTTGCATGTTTAATACACTGATCTATGATGTTCCTAATTATCAATTGAATTACATGGTAATATTGAGGAGTAAGCATTATCCCAGTCAATGCAAATGCTGTTATCCCTTAAATGAACAAACAGAGCATTGATTCCTGGCCTGTCTTAACACTGTATTTGTGTTGTTTAATTTAGTTAAAGATTTTTTTACCTGTTCAAGCTTCCAAGTAAACATATTACATTCTTGTATAAACTGAGAAATGTGTTCAATTTGTGTTGTTGGGGGAGTTCTTGATTAACATTTGTTTAACAGTGCATGAGTTTTTAAATGCCACATTGACGTTCCAGGTTTTTAGTTGTGAAGGAATGTGTGAGAAATTTTTGTGAAATGGTAATATTAAGATATTCTTATGGTCATGGGTGGGCTTGGGATCAGTTCTATAAAAAGTTTTCTTAGTAATGTTTAGGCATTTGTCTATGAAAGATCTAGGGTATTTAAGGTTTGAGCCAATATTATATATATATTTATATTCCTCATCGATGAATTCCGGACTGCAAATTCTCAAGGCACGTAAAAACATTGTTGAAAATACTGACTGTTTGACTTTATTATGGTGGGCAGAATAATAATGAATGTATGAACACACATTAGGTTTAAGCCATAACATTGAATTAAAAGTGTTACTTATTCTGTGTATCAGACAGTCTAGGAATGGCACTTACAGTCTGCTCAATTCCACAGCAGAATTTGAATGGAGGGGGGTCAGTTACAGTGTTGTGGCAGGAAAGCTTTAGGGTCCCTCATTACATGGAAACCCTGTGTTTTCTTTTCCTATATATATATATATATATATATATATATATATATATATATATATATATATATATATTGTCTTATCATTATTCCCTTGGTCTCCTTATCAACAGTATGTATTGTACTCACCAAACTGCTGAGCATTTTAATTAAGGAAAACGTGTGCCTTCTTGATGTTATATGCCATCATTTTATGCAACCCTGTGTTATGTCTATCCCTTATGTTCTGTTTCTGTATTTTCATGTCGGTCTGGTTCTCCCTTTGTCTCTCTATATCACTTTTGCTTCAGTGGTCTTCCTTTCTCCTCTTCTATCATTGTAGAGTATAAGTCTTTTCCCTTCATGAATGTGTTTATCTCTGCCTCGTAATAATACTCAAACTCTACCGTAACCAACTGATTTTCATTACACCAACACGGAGATGTTTGGATTTGTGTCGTTAAACCCAGCTATATCTTAGTCTTAATGCTTCCCATACAGTTCCAACATGCATCCCTTTGGAGTTGATGGACAGTTTTACAGTTTGAACACTTTTATCTGTAAAATCAAGTTAACATCTGAAATTTCTATGTACATTTTTGCAAATTTCAACTCGTATCACTGCGGCTTCAATGAGTATACGCCATTATGAGGCTAGATTTATATAATATCGATGCAATATCAACGTAAACAACTAAAATATTAGGGTTTGTCTTTGATATGTAAAAAAAATATATTCCCTGAACATCAGTGTATTTATAAGGACTATCAATAAACGTATCTAAAATATCAGTGTAAGAAAAGCAGTATAAATTAAAGCTTATACATTATCAGTTCACATATTTGCAATATCCATACATGTATGTAGTACCAACGTGCATACACTTTTAAATTATTGACGTGCTATATGGACACGCGCTTTTGGAATATTTGCAATAATTATGATCACTTCTACAATATCACTAACCATATCGTGGTACGGCTCAATTTAATCTGTGTATCCTTGTCTTGGTAAATGTCATAAAAGAATAATAGGTTCAATTTATTAGGTTACCTAGCTCAGGTTAGTTTAGGTTAGTAATACACACATAGTCTGCATTAAGATCATCTACTTAATCCTCCTTGAGCTTCTTCCTCAGGAAGCCCCGTTAATGTTACCGGTTTAAAGCTTTATACGTCATTAATGTATATCACTTAACGACACAGTACATCAGTGTTTTCATATCAATACAATTCATTTTAGTTCGTAGATGTATTATGTATTGACCTGTAAATGATACCATTTGAGGCTACATGTTCACGATAAACAAAACTCGTCGGTGTAAAAAAAAAAAAAAAACCGCAACGCACCAGACAAAGCGCCGAGACGACGAAACTAGTACTGGCAAAAACTGGAAATATTCCTGTGAAGATCACCACACCAGAGGCCCAAGGAACACGTAACCACCTCGCCAGAGCAGTATATATACGCCTGTGCTCACCAAGATTATGTCACAACCATCCGGCCTGCAGAAGTCTCTAGAGCAGTTTACTCATCACCTCACACCAAGTCAACATGAATCTTCTGGTAAGTGGCCACCTTCGCTCCTAACACTTGGTGGCGAGAAATCAGTTTATACAATACAAATTTGTTTAAAAATTTTGATTTATTAATTATGTATTTTACCTGCAGGTTACCTGTCTCCTCGCCATCGTGGTCACCTCTCATGCATACGTCCTTGTTGGACCTTCAGGTGCCGTCTCCGCCACAGGAAAGAACCGCCAGTTCTCTGCTGATGAAGCTGGCGGTCCGCGAGACATAGTTGGCGCTTCGGGTATCGTCAAACCTTCAGGGGTGAACATTCAGTTCACCCGAGAAGAAGCCGAGAACTACAACAATATTGTGGTGGGACCCTCCGGGATCGTCACCAGAGATGGCCAAAACATCCAGTTCACTGCCGAACAGGTTGGCCGCCAGAAGCGTGACCTAGTGGGACCCTCTGGTATCGTCAGAAAAGATGGCAGAAATGTTCAGTTCACCCAGGAAGAAGCCGATAACTATTTCAATGTTGTGAAGGGACCCTCCGGTATCGTCCGAAAAGACGGCAACAACATTCAGTTCACCGCTGAACAGGCTGCCCGCCAGAAGCGTGCCCTATTTGGTCCCTCTGGCGCTATCTTGGATGATGGCACTCAAGTCCAGTTCAGCAAGGCAGGTGTCACAGTCCTACTGGAGGGACCCTCTGGCTACGTCTTCAGTGACGGCACCCTCGTCCAGAAGAAGAGCTAGGAGGCAAGACTCAGACTACCTGACCCAAAACTGTCAACGACTCGAGTCTGTATATACAGTAGGCCCAAGGTTATTATTAATGATATGTATTGGTTGTACTATAAACAGACATTTACAAAATAAAGAATATGCAAATGCAATGAACAACTATCAGATTTACTTCTCCTTGCTTTCATCAACTGTTAGTGTTGAGAATATCATCCTGACTCAGTGGGTTAATTTCTTGAGAAATTAACTTATCAGTCTGCAAACTGTGCTGTAATGCTAATTGTTGGCTTTAGGTAAAACTTACCAACAATACAATGTTTTGCGTTTATAAGTTGTCCATATATTAATCTGAGCCATTTTGACATTTGACAACCTGAAAACCATTCTAGAGATAACACACACAGTTCTTATTACACTTATAAGTTGTTTTTGTCTTAGTAAACTTCCAAATGTGCATCGTGATCGAATACCAAAATAGGTCAAATTATTTTCGGATACCTTATATTCCTGCAACAACGTTATGTGACTGAGATAAAGAAGATTTCTTTTGGATGCCATAAATATCTTCTGGGTGAATTCAAATAAGAACATAAGAACATAAGAAAATAAGGAGTCTGCAATAGGCCGGTTGGCCTGTGCATGGCAGCTCCTGTCGAGAGTTACTACCACTCTCTATCATCCATGAATCTATCTAGCCTCCTTTTGAAACTTTCCAGAGTTCCCGCACTAACTACAAAGTTGCTAAGCTTGTTCCACTCGTCCACCACCCTATTTGTGTACCAGTTTCTTCCTATCTCCCTCCTAAACCTAAACTTATCCAACTTGAATCCGTTGCTCCGAGTCCTATCCTGCTCGGATATTATAAGAACTTTATCTATATCCCCTTTATTTGAATGCACATTTAAGTATAGCAGAAATCACTTGAAGTAACCTAATATATTCTATACGATAAAATATATAGCTAATTACTAATTCAAGTACAGGTATCTCCATTGATAACACTCCTGACTGACTAACTAACATGTTTCCTGGGAGATCTTTTTGCCCAGCTCGAGCTAATGCACTCAGTGTCATAGAGTAAACGAAAAAATATATAGGTTTTATGATAACAATAAGATTATTTTCTGACGTTTACACAATATTAATTTGAGCCGTAACACAAAATAGTTGTTGACATATGGGAGGTTTAATTTGATTTAATCGATATGTTCATTAATACTTCAGATATAAAAGTAGATTTGGCAAACTTGATTGTTTGATATTGCACTAGCTTCAGTTGATACTGCAGTTATTAAATTGATATTACAGATAATCTTGTTGATAATCCCTATATGGATGGTGAGATTGTAGCAACATTCGTTGACATGAACAATAAAAACCCCAGATACTACAACTAGTTATGTTGATATTGCATAAATAAACATTGGCAAAGCAAAAAAGAGCATTAATATTACCCGAAAAGAGATAAGCTGATGGAAATAGCAGACAAGAGTTGAAGTTTGTAAAGATGTATAATTAAATTACTTTACCTTGACAGTGTAGATAAGCCCATTTAAACTGCATTTTTTTTATTCTATTGAACGGGAAGTATTAGCACTAAGACATGGTTGAGTATAACAGCATGAGTCAAATTTTTAGGGTAAGTTTCGTTTCTGACAAATGGAATGAAAAACATTTGGCTACGTGTAGAGTCAGTGTAATTTCTAGGCGGAGACAGACAGAGAGATAAAAGGAATAGACAGATAGATAAAGAGGGAGAGACACGTGGATATATAGATAGGAGTGAGATAGTCAGAGACATTTAGGTAGACAAAATATGAGAGAGAGAGAGAGTTGTACACACTATCTCGAAAGCCACATATTGCCCTGAGATAAAATACTCAGCAGTTCGGTGGGTAGAATCCATTATCATCAAACATAAAAGAGAAAAATTTTAAGACAATAAGAAGACAAGAACGAGAATAAAAGACTTAGTATCTCTTCATTTCTGTGCGATTAAATATATTTTTTCTGCGTTTAGTCATTGAGTAACACTCCAGACGTGTGTGTGTGTGTGTGTCTCCTCGTGGCAAAACGCGGTAACTGTGTCTCTCGCGGTCCCAGGCTAGACCAGCAGGGGATTTCCGTGCAGCAATGGGCCCCAGAGGTACGGCGCTTAGGCCCACCTGCATGTGGACACGCCCTGGCGCTTACCAACCACTGCCCCGTTGCCTTGCGGTTTTACCTTGATAAGATATAAGGCGATGGGAGTAAAACCAGAACGAAAAATCTGTGCTGGGACCCCGCATCAGCTAGATATGCTTAGTGCTTACAGAGCTCCAGTAAGACCCCAATGACGGGACAGGTGTAACAGGTGACCAACACGGGAACCTAACGACTACACCGGCGGATAAATGCAATGCAAGATGGTAAGTTACAATGGCGAAACCCAACAAACTGGGCTATCGGCAGTCCATTGCAACTCTCCCTCACCCCAGTTGTTGCAGCTGCCTGCACCAGTGGGTCAGGAAAAGGGTAAGCCAAGATGTGTGGTTGCAGTCTGCGCTCCTTCCTCACCACATACTGTAAATCAACTCATGCACAGCCATCGTCGAGCTCATCATACTTTCCATCATCATCAGAACCCTTACACCCCCAAAAGTCCTATGGCAATAGATGAGTCGCATTGGGGACAGGCAGAGATAACTGTCATGAGTCTATTGTCATAATTCTGCACATAAGTCGTTTATGCACTGGGGGTCTAGGCAGTAGTGCAATCCAGTTTGTCTGTACGAGTGAGCAGCCCTTTCTAAGAGCCCCCCTCCGCTCACCCGACGGTAACTTCCTAATTAAAAACGAAGGCATCCATCTGCGTTGGGCATCCATCTGCGTTGGAAAGAGCACTACCATTCCCTGACTAAAAAAGTTAGTCCCTCAGCACCCAGACCTGACCTACCTCAGTTATCCTCCAGCCGTGATGAGGTAGCTACTGCCATCAAGAAGATGGAAAATAACAACTCCACAGGGCCTGATGGGATCCCAGCCGAGGTACATAAAGCAGGATGATCTTGCTTACAACCGTCTCCACTTTCTCCTGGCGAATATATGGGAAAAGGAGGAAATCCCCCAAGATCTAAAAAACGCCTCAATTGTCAATATCTATAAGAGCAAGAGAGACCGGTCAGGCTGTGGAAACTACCTCAAGATCTTACTGCTGTCCATAGCTCGCAAGAATAACGCCCGAGTCCTCCGAAACAGACTTCTTCTTGGGCGGAAAACTTCCTCTGAGAATCTTAATGAGGATTTAAGACCATCACGTTGCGTCACTGACATGATCTTTGCCGTCCGCCAAATACAGGAAAAGTGCCGAGAACAGCGTCTTCATCGAAATTACCAATGTCTTCAAATCGGTCAACAAGGAAGCCCACCATTGTAAGGCAACTCAACGATGGCATGAACGGCAGTGCCCTGCACAATGGCACCCAGTCTGAGTTCTTCCCCCATCCAAATGGGGTAAAACAAGGATGTGTTCTGCCCTCAACTCTCTTATCATGCCTGCATTCATTACTCGTGCCATGGCTGATCTAGCCGGCGGGGTGGACATCCACTCCCGGATGAGGGGACTTTTGAATATAAGACGACTCAAGGCAGAAACAAGGGTGTCGACAGTTTCCATCACTGAACTTCGGTATTCAGATGACCTCACCCTCGTCGCCTACGCTGAACGCAACCCTTCAGGAGAACCTGAACACCTACACAGATGCGTATACACATCTCGGCCTTGAAATGAATGTACGTAAGGCTCAGATTCTCTTTTAGCCTGCCCCTGGTTCAGGCACACCTCCACCATCCATCTAGGTTAACGATACTACACTCTAATAATATTACCAGCTTTCAGTATCTTGGCTCTCACCTATCCACCAACGCAGATATCGATGAAGAGATAAAACATCGGATCAGAAATGTGTATCTCAAGCCTTTGGCAGACTCCATACCGTGTCTTCAGCTGTAGGGAGCTGAAATTATCTACAGAGCTGCACGTATATCAATCAGTGGACCCCTCCACCCTGCTGTAAAGCAGTGAGACATGGGTCGCATATAGGAGGCACCTCAAAGCACTTGAAAACTTTCACCAACGTAGTCTACGTTCCATACCCCGAGTTCACTGAGAAGACAAGAGAACTAAGCCAGTATTCTTGCTGACACCAATTGTAGGAGCATCGAGGTTACCATTATCCATGAACAACTATGTTGGACTGGACATGTTACCCGCATGGACGACAGTAGACTGCCAAGGCAGCTATTTTACAGTCACCTAACGAGTGGAAAACGTAATGCTGGCGAGCAACGGAAAGGGATTAAGGATAGTCTTAAGAAAAACCTGAAGAGCCAAATCAAACCCCTAACCAAGGAGACGATCACTCCACACCGTATCTCTTGGAAGACCACCAAACGAGGTGTCACTACCTTAGAATTAGCCCGACTGCATACCTAGGCAGACAAGCGCCAGCGCCGGAAAGACACTGCTACTGCCCCTCCCGCACTATATGTAGCCTTCTACACCAGTAATTATTTAGATTGCAAAGTTCGCGCTGGGCCACTGCTTTCTTCTTTGGGAAGGTATCGGCTTTGGTCCGAGAATGAGGGTTGTTCTACCATTCAGTTAGAGCAGCACGTTTATCATCGATGAGTATATTGATTTCCTGGTGTATTCTTTCGATCTGGCCGAGGGTCTCTCTACAGATTTTTGTCACGACACACTCAAGAGTATATCCCAATCGACACTAGGAATTGGGTTGGTTGTTATCTGGTTGTGTATCAGCCCATGTTCGAGCTGCTTTCTGAAAGCATGTGCTACCGCTGGATCCTCCAGACTATTAGTGTTAAAACCTCTTCTGAAGGCTAGCTGTCTTCGCCGTTTTGGGGTGACGTGAAGCGAGAACTTGGTTCTGACGAGCCGATGATCAGCGTCGCAGTGGCCTGAGCCATACATGGCTCAGGTATATATAGAATTATTTAGAATCATTTTTATTATTATATCACAGTTTTGTATTGCCTTACATGCCCCCATCTCTTCAATATTAATCAAAATATTCTCCATAAGCGGACATGATCCGTGTATTTACCCACTGTTTTAGTGGGAGAAACTCGCTGATTGGTTGTTAACTATTCGGGCGCTGC